CAAAACTGTCAAGATGAACAGCCTCGCCAGCTAGTGTTTCCTCGAATAGAGTGGGATGAGAAACCCCAACGTCGTAAACATCACCCTCAAGCTTCTTCAAGCCCTTCGTCAAACGTTTGTACTTCTTGGGAGGCTTAGAAACCCCCTCTTTCTCATTCTCTTTCCCGGCCTCCATGAGCTTCTTTAGAGTGCTCTTGCTTGGGAATACTAGACATGAGCTACAAGGACAATTGTAAATGCTAAACATTAGAAAGAAAAGAAGAAGGGAAAAAAACAGAAAGCCTTAATCGCTCACTAGAAGAAGAATTATCAACAGCTGGACCGACCATATACTTGGCGAGCTTCTGTGGATTAAGCGGATCAGACCAGAACTTAGCGTTGTATTCCTCGTCCTTACGAACGTGTTAGACCTCAAACTTAAGCAGAAGAGGCATAAACGTTGCAAATCAAACGACAATAGGTCAACATTCAGGTCACTTTAACCAAAGCCCCAATGGAAATGGACAAGGAAATGACTCAGTCTTATTTTTGGGGGGAGCCTAGAGTCAATGAACCCAGAAACTCCTATCAACCACTCCACCAAACTTCCAAGCGTTCCTAGACATCAAAAAGAAGCCCGTCTTCCACTGTTTATGAGAAGAATGGGTGTTAATGACTAGATCAGACAGATTGACTCTCTTAGCGAAATATAAAAAAATCGTAGAAGGATAGGGCTTTAGATGGAAAAAATGGGCAAACTTGAGAATGGTGGAGGAGACTTAATCCCATTCTCACACAGTGGACAAGCAGCCCCACTAGTAGACCACATCCATTGGGGGACAACAGAGCAGGGCAGAGGTTGAAATAGTGAAGAACAGATCTAGCAAAAAAGTGCATGGGAAACCTAAGGCTGACTTGGAACACGGCCTCAAAAAAATAGACATTCCAAGAATAACAGGTGTGGCAAGATGAAAGAAAAAAGGGTATCCTCATAGACACAAACTCTAAGTAAGGGATATCCTCGTTACAGTTGAACGATCGACGAAGCTAGGAAGGAGATCTAGAGTTCTCCAAAGCCACCAAACGGAGCCAAGATGAAAAGAGAAGAGTAGATGTGCCTAAGAGGAAAGTCGACTGAACTTGAAAATGACGGGGATGATGGACTTCGGTAAAGAGAACTATGATGATGGGAAGCAAAGCACCTCCGATTCACTCCTCTCTCTTTCTCTCTAGCTTGAAGAAGCGAAGGATATGGAGGATGCAACAGAAGGGTTGAGACTTATATTAATGGATAAAAAATTGAACGGATATATTTTTCTTTGTTTGGTATTAGATTAAAAATTGGATGAAAAGAAAAAACATATATATTAAATTTACCATTATATCCTCACATCTAATAGGTGAATTTTTCTATAGTAATTATCATAGAAGGTTTGGTAAAATGTTTGAATTGCAAAACACATGAATCACATGTTCAACATACATCCCCTCAAATCAGATTCCAAGTTTGGATCCTATATCAAATGTTTTTTTTTTTTTTATAACCTTGACAGTGTGAGGGAATTTTAAATTGGATTACACCTAGCTAGGGTAAATACCCCCTCGATGCAATCTAATTACATGAATAAGATTAAAGAAAATAAACCAAAATGCATGCTTTTTTTTTAAGCAAATTTTATTTATAAACTTCAAAATTTACAAGAAGCAAATTTTTACAAGACACAAAAAAGCCAAAAGATGACTTTAATCCTTCAAAACATAACAAAAGAACAGATTTCATCCTTAACAGCATACAACCCTCCATTCCAACATCTTTCCTATGTCAGGCAAGCAAAGTTGTAATAGAGTATCCATATATGTAACACAAGGCTGAAACCAACCAAACACTCCCATCCCATCAACCTTTGTCATCAAAGACCAAACTACTTTTAATCCTTGCCATCAGAAGTTGCCTATGGTCTTGATATAGCCTCTGCTTAACAACATTTGTTCTAAGGATGAAAAAACCCCAGAATCTCTCACTTGCACAGCATGGTTTGTCAAACCATCTGCCACGAAATTAGCTTCTCGATGTACATGAGCCAATTGAGAATCAATAGAGGCTAACAAACTCCTAATTTTTGAAAGTCAACTCCAATACTTCAAACTAAAATCAAATTTCTAGAACTCGTTTTCTGTAATAGGAAAAGAACAGAGTTTTTATTGCAGCTTTTGAAACCCAGAGAAAAACCCAACAAAAAGATCAATTGATCTTCATCTGTGTGTGTGTGTGTGAGAGAGAGAGAGAGAGAGAGAGAGAGCTCTTACCCTATTTTGTGAAGTTTTATCAGGATATCAGTGGAAAGTGAATGGATTTTGTCTGCTAAAAAGGGTAAAATACTCAATTTCCAAAAAATTGTCATCTTCCCTCCACTTTTTTAGTCCATTTTCTGCCCAAAAATTGGGAAAAAAATTTTGGCGGGCGCCAGGGGAGACAACTCCCCTCCACTTTCCATTCCCTCCCATTTTCCTTTCAAACCAAACAATAGAAACTATTTTCTTCCCTTCTACTTTCCTTCCTCCATTTTTCATCTTCCCTATTTTCACTCATATCATTAAGGGGGTTAAAAAAAAATGGTGGTTACAACGCACGATAATGCATTTAATGCACTAGCATGCGTGGGACACATGTCACCCTTTGATAGGCACACCCCAAAATCGAGGTGCCAAACACACGATAGGTCATCATAACTGCACAGCGATGAGACAACAATCTGGTATGTATTTTTGATTACGTACAATCCTAGGGACATGATAAGTGGCCAAGATCTGGAAGCTCAGCCCCAACCAAGACCTTGCTCAGAAGCTGGGAGACAATTGATGATACAACAGAAAAAGACTAGCAGAGGAATAGCAGAGGAATTTCCCCAGCTTACATACCTTGAGCAAGAGTTCACTATTTGTAGAAGTTTATATCATACCTTGGGCAAAATGCCTTTTAATTGCCAATATTCCCTAACAAATCTTTTATAAAAGGCAATGATAAAATGTAACTACATTAAGTCAATACATTGCACCTAAGATAGCACAAATGTGTATCTTCTTCTTCCTCAAGCAAACCCCCCAAAAAAAGAGGAAGGGCCTCCATTAATAGTGGGTTACTCATGCTCTTTAGCATGATGAACCACTTAAATCTTTGCATCTCCTTCACTCAAATTGACCATTTATCATACTTAATAAACAGCTCATCCATCATAGTGTTTCTTAATTTTTTACACCATCAACAATAAAAGAGAACAAGAAAAAGAAGAAAGTTTCAACTGTTGCAAAGAGACCCAAAGGCGACAAATTTGAAAAGCTAGAGCCCTTAGCCAACATCCTCGTCTTCGCATTCTGAAGCGAGTTAGTCATAGGAGACATCATATTTCATGACCGCCTTTATAGTAGTGTTTTTAAAACCTAGCCCAGCCCAGCCCGACGGGTCAACTCATAAACACAGTGAATCGATGCCTAAATTGAACCAGTTTGTATATTGGATCATTTAAGCATAGAACCTAGTATTGACCCAAAAACCCGACCGATTTTTATAAAACCTGTTGAACCGATTGAGTTGTATGAAACCAGATAGGTCATGTTTATGTCATGTTTACAGTGATACTACGTCGCAATGCTGACGTATTATCGCCAACTAATAATATCAAAACAAATAAGCAAATGAGTTCCACTAAAATTAATAATCAATCCTCCATGTAAGCAAATAAATATTTACTCTTCCTCCATGTAAACAAATAACTACTTAATTGAGGTTCACCTTACCCATTTGATGTTTTATTATTAACTGTTGATAACACGATGTCACTCCCTCTCTCACACACACACAACCCCCCCTCCCTTTCTCTCTTTGCCATCAGACGTTCAAAACACCTAGGAGACTCAAATATGCTTTCCATCGTCTTTCTCTCCCTCTCCGTCTCCATTTGACACTGTCTCTTTCTCTCATTCTCCAGCTGTCAGGTAATTTAGTCTATGTTGTTCAGATTTGTGCTTCAAGATGTGATTGTGGGTTGATGCAATCAGAGTATCGTTGTTCTTTTTAAAAAAAAAAAAAAAAAAACTTGTGATTTGCTAGTTTTTGCTTGCCAATATCCTATATTTTTGCTTGAGTAAGGAATTTTACTAAATATGTTACTTTTCTGTTATCAAAATCCAATCTGCAATTTTGGCACTTAAAATTGAGTTTGCTTGTACGAATCTTAAATTTTGTTGATATCTATTATTTATGCTTTTTTCGGCTATTTTTTTCTGTGAAGTTATGCACTGCGTAAATATTATATTGTTCTCCCAAACTTTGGAAAAGCCCATCCAGCCATTAGAACCAACATTGTGTTAATCACTACTCATGGAAACCAAACAACTTTTTTTTTAAAATACATCAGCTTCCTTTACAAAGACACTGTTGATTCTTCATCTTTCAAAAAAACTCGTCGGAAGTTAGCCATTACGGTGATTCAATTGATCCAGCCAGAGGAGGCATATGGGCCATACTGCTCATGTTTTGGCATTAGTCATCAAAAAAACAAATCAGGCTTGCCCTCTTTCTGAAAGTCTATGAGAGCTTCAGTCATATGACACTGAAGCTGTGATTTGTCCACGGTTTTAAAATTTTTTTCTCTACCAGATGCTATTCAACATAGCAAATACTGCAATACGGAGTGGGATTTGTGCAGAACACACCAACTAAAAAACCAATTCCTCACCTCACTCATAACTTAAAATCCACGTCTCCAATGGAACTTGATGTATCATAGAGGAGTAGTTCACGAAAATCCAGAAGATAAGAGTTTCTCAAAGTCAATATTCTCGTAACTTCCTAACCAATAGCGTTCTTTGACCTAATAATACATATTGGTTTAGCTACTACACACACAAGGCGCATTGAAAGTCCTGATATGCAAGTAACACAGCAGCCCATCAAGTATAGATGGCTGCTTGGAACGTTGTCCCATTGATCTTCATTGCACATCGACAACCCTGATGAATGATCATACTTTTCTCTGGTCAGAAAAAACTGAATGTGGCTGCAGATGAGGTGGGCTCAAGCTTGACTCCAGTATCGGGTGCGCATGCACCATCTCTGGTTTAGCATATGCTGCATCCAAGCTAACTCGTTGCTTTTTTGCTGATCTTTCACCTTTTGGACTCTCAACTGGTGATCTCACATGGCAACCAGAATCTGGTGTTAGTGGCTCGTGGCGAGAGGAGAATGATTCATCAACAGAAAGGCTCTTGGCCGGGACACGTTCTTTGGCAGGTTTGTCCACGAGTGGAGATTCAGAAGTTGGGGCAGGGGTTGCAGGGTCATTCTTATTTTCAGGCTCCAGGCAGTCATCACCTGTTACCGGGGCAGAGACTCCAGAACCAGGCACTTCAGAAAGAACTCCACTGAGTCGTTGTTGTTCTTCAATTATCTTCTTCAAATATTTGCCTTGGGCTTCTATCCGTAACTGCAGCTGTCTTTGCACCTGTTGGATTCATGTGTAAGAATTCTTTTGATAAAACTAGATTCACCAAACTATGATGCCTAGTACACTTCGGTGCCACTTCAGTAGGGAAAAAAAACCAACTATTATCCATCCTTACCCTTTGCCATACTAGTGTCCGTTAAAGAATTTAAGACACATATGGGCATATTTTCCGCATCAGCGTTAACTCTAGTAGAAGAAAAACACCGCTCTCTCTCATGTAACCTTTTTATAAGCGTTCACATGAAGTGATGTCGAATGGTTTTATTTATTGAGAGCTAGGAAGCACGGACACTTCATTTTGGACAGAGTGTTGGTGTCGGACACGTCTGGGACACAGACACGTTTCGGACACGCTGGGACACGTGTCGGACACGTTAAAATGAGTGTCCGATTTTTTTATTATTAAATATTTTTTAGGACACGTGGCCGACACACTGGGAGACACGTTTTGAGATTTATTTTCAATTTTTTGAGAACTTTTCAGATAATTTTATAATTAGGAGTTATTTTTATAATTTTAAAGGGATATGGGTCACAATCATAATATAAAAGAAATTATAATAATTACATTGAACATAGGACATGAATATAATATAATTTTGGATATGAATACGAACTTATACACAAATGGAATAGTCTTTTAATATGAAAGTAATGTGAAAAAAAATGGGATTACAAAATTAGAGCTCTTGGAATTTGATGAAAATTAGTATTACGAAATGAAATATTTTTAAATTAAAAGTTGTAGAAGTCATTGATTATTAAATTATGGATGTTAATATTGTATGTGTATTAATATATCTTATATTATATTTTTCATGCAATGATATCATGATGTAAATTTTTAGAATTAGGAAAATAATGAATTAAAAGATTATTATGATAATATTTTTATTTTATCACATGATTTTATATATATATATATATATATATATATATATATATATATATATATATATATATATAAAATACATATTATTTAACGTATCGCTAACGTGTCCGTATCCTACTTTTTTGAAAAATTTCGTGTCGGCGTGTCCGTGTCGTGTCGTATCCATGTCCGTGCTTCTTAGATTGAGAGAGAGAGAGAGAGAGAGATTACACTAGGTATCAATATCATAATTCTGCCTAACAGGGTCTTTAGCACTACCTCCACATAGTCTAGCCCCGCTGTGAGAAATGACAAATGCCTATGATTGAAAGCCACTTTGAGAAATCAATAATTCAAACATTATGTCAATGATCTCCCACACTCACTTTGCCGTCACGTAAGGCATTATGGCCTTGGACCCTAAAAACAACCAATTGAAAGCCCTCGAATAAGGCTTTATGAAGTCGGTGTCTCTCAATTGTCTATATTGCCAAGGTCTAATAAATTATAACTTCTGGCTCATCCTGGAAATGTACACAAATTCCAGCAGGTAGGACAAACATAAATCCAATTCCCATGGTTATGTTGTTGTCATGTCCACCCCGGATACATGCATGATTCAAATATTATGCTGATGTAACCAGTAATTTCAATAAAATAAGTTATCGATGAAGATAAAGTATTAGAATAACTGTTGAAATGAGGGCATATCTATCATAAGGGGTGCCTAAAATTGCAAAGAAAAGCATACCTCCAATTGCTCATGCAATCGCTTTTGCACCTCCATCTGCAGCTTGAGTGCTTCAGTAATTTGCATGCCACTGTAAACATATAACAAATATTTTCTCAAAGCCAGTTGCCCATCAACAACTTGTATGGACATAGGCACATGGGTCATAGTAATATGCTATCCCAACAATGAGATCTCAGCTGTCCATCACATTTTTTCAGATCTATGTGACGAAGGGAAACATATGGTTAACATAATGCAACCTAAATTTGTCTCTTTGGGACAAATTCAGGGTGGCAGCCTTCCAAAACTTCAACAACCCAGCAAGTGTGATGTGCATCTATCATGACCATCCGCGGTCACGTAGAACCCTTTTTATACAAGAAAAAGGTGGCAAAATTACTTACGATGAACCATCCAAGCTGGAAAGCATATCCCCAGATTCATTCTTGTCAGTTTTTTTTCCTTGCATTGATAATTCAAGGCAAATAATATCAGTAAGATTCTTTTCTAGGAAGAGGAGGTATCCATTTTAAGACATCATTTGACAAATCTGCCTATTCTAAATCAATGAAGATGAGAATCCCTCTAGTTTTTTAATGATATAAAAGCAATGAAAAATGATAAACTTACCATCAGATGAGGAGTCTGGAAGGTACTTTGCAAGTCGATATTTCTGAATGCGCAACAGTAAGTAATTGAAGTCACTAAGGAGACCAAACTTCTAAAGCTAAGGGGGCCCTTGAAATGAAGATTTGCATAGGATAAATCACTATATACCTGTAAATGGCTTTTGACATGGTAAATTGTTAGACCTTGTACACCCATGACTCTGAGGACACCTTTGGGAGTAGCCCCTGAAAAAGAGATGACAAAAAGCAAATTCGTACACACTTCCATCATTACCCATAGATCCCACACGAAGAAACTCACTAGATTCCTCATCAAAACATCAATCAGAGAAAGTGATATTTTTTATTTGTCAATTTTCTGAAGAAAAATATATTTTGGATTAATTAATTTAACTTCTCAAACAGTTCAGTTTACACATATTTTGCCTAAACAGCCTTGCCACTTCTACATGACATTCAAATTTAGATCATTGGAAGGTGATATGTTTAACTGACAAGAATACACATTCTACCACGCAATTAATGTGATAAAGCACTGATGAATCCAATTTCCACTTCCAGAGAGTACATAGGTACCTATCAAATGTTTTTATCTTTCAAGCCATTGGACAGCCCAAGAAGGGCTGCGCATTTCCATTGATTCATTTTAATGGTACAGAAAATTCTTGTATTGCACAAATGGAAGCTTGGACTACAATTTTTTTTTATACATATGCAAGAAAGTGTTCATTTGGAAAGAAAAAGTAAAAAACTTTAGTTAACCAAATAAGAGTCAAGATAACTCACGATCTGGCCCACCCAGTTGCGCTACAGCATCAACAAATCGCTCATGAAGCTCATGTGTCCAACGTAGACGTTGCTTAGAGGCCAAACCAGGATTGTTGTTGGGACTGCTACCTCCATGAAGAGGGTCCATTGCACTAGCACCACAATCTAATGGCTGACTACGGACCACTGTGTTGCTGCGAACTAAACTTGAACTATCAACACCCTTAGGCTGATACATATTACATTAACCTATAGACAATAAACCAGACAATCACCCACAGCATAAAAACCACATTAGAAGACTATAAATGTAACAATCATGTGTGTTTGGAAAACAAGTGACTAGACTGCCTAAACAGAAAGATTCAAACTCAAAGATTCCACATGAAATTCTGCCACTGAAAGGGTGACATTGTTCTCCATTCCTCAGATAGCAGGTTAGGGAAGGCAATTATCAACTTGAGACGCTTAACCTACCTCTTACGGTCTTAGATGTATGAAGTTTGGTATTTGTTAAAATGTGCAAATCAATCGGCACCACTGGAAACCAAGACCACAGGGGAAGGGTAACATTCTTAGAGAAATGCTGCTAAGAACTACAATGACGCTCTCCGATATACTAAGAAAAGTAATATAGCCTGTGTTCAGTGTTTATAACTGTGCATTTACTACTCACATTTTAAATTTCAATCTTATTATCATAATATCTAACCTTTTGGAAAAAATCAACACATTAATCCATGTAAATCAAAGGAAGACATCAGTAAATCACATTTATGCTTTCAGATTGGGTTCTTCCATTAGCATACAAAAGTCTGGCTATACTAAATGGCTCTCATACTTGCCTTTTTCTTGTCCATCCCAAACTGTGTTTCCAGTATTTTATAATTAAACATTATCAAACAAAGTACGTGAATAACAAGGCACTTCATCAAAATGACAAGTGCCACGTGCACTAATTGTCCTTCCTGAAAAATTGTTTTCCCAAAACATGAAACTCAAGATTGGAATGGAGGGGCTACTATTTTTGTCGCTGATAAATATCATCATTAACAGCAATGATGAAGGGAGGATGCAAAATGTAAGTGCAATCTTACATTATTATCATTGCTGTAATAGTGGATATCAGGAACCATATCAGGTAATATGCCACAATTGAATCAAAGATGTGATTGCAGCATAGTGTACAACAACGGTGTCAACTTTCCAATATAGGGAATATGATTAAACCAACAATACTAAAAAGTACAATGAGTACTTACCAAAAAAAAAATATAAAATGAATGGAAGCGACAATCACCAAAATAGTGATGAAATAAATACAAAGTTGTTTGTCCAAGTACTATCTTATGTCACCTCCAAATTTCAACGTATATTATCCGAGTAGAGGAGAGGAGGAAATGGGTAAATTACTCTCTCCCCCCCCCCCCAAAAAAAAAAAACAAGTAAAAAAATGGAAAGAAAAAGTTATTTGATTTGACTTCGATTTGTATGCTACTTAAGCATCATCCACCCATCTAATTCAACACATCCAGTTAACTTGGTTAGGGAAGGCATTAAATTGGTTGATCATTGTTCGCCTTATCAGTGTAAAGAATAACATGAAATCAATTTTGGATGTTTTGAGAGAGAGAGAGAGATGGTTAGCAAAAGTGTGGGTTTGGGAGAATCACAATGCCGAGTAGTTAGTCCTATAGTGTATTAGCAAAAATCTATATATGGCATCCATTGAGTATTGCGTCCTTTGTCTTGCTTATAGAGCATATTTATTGCAACCCCAAGGAGTATATAAGGTGGCACACATCCCACTTCACAAAATTATGAGTCATCCCTTGAGGCTAAACACAAACGTCTGGGCTTGCCAAGTCTAAGGTTCTTGTGGGGCAAGTTATGAAGCACGAACACTCTCAAGAAGGTGATGTATCCATGTCGGACACCGACACGCTCCGGACACTCTCGGATACGTGTCCGATACTCTTTTATCCATGTCCATAATTAAATGATAAATTTTTAATTTCGGACACGTGTCAAACACTTTTTTGGTGACGTATCCGACACTTCTTTAGAACGTGTCTACTACTAAACAATAGACATGTGTTGAAATGTGATTAACAAAACTTAAAAATTTTAGAACATATAATTACTATACTAGACATGTTAAAATTGTACTCTAAATATAATAATAAAAATAAAAGATGCATAAAAGTTTTAAAAAAAGAGAAATAGAGAAATTGAGAAAATGAGAACAATTGTTTAAATTATATATTAGGTATACATTGTCTACAAAAAAAAAATTGATGATTACGGACTATTATGAGAATGCTTTAGTCTAAAAATTCACAAAGATGACTACACATTAGATTTACTTATCATAAAATACTAAACCTTTTATGAATTGTATATCATTATCACTATATTTGTAATAAATTATATAATGCTATACATAAAATATAATTTTTTTTGTAGCGTATCCTCAACGTGTCCATATCCTACTTTTTTTAGCAATGTTGTGTCGACGTGTCTGTGTCGTGTTGTATCCGTATTCCATGTCTATGCTTCTTAGGGGGCAGGTAATGTACTCCACAAAAATTTGAGATTCTTTGCCCGAGTCCTCCCTGAGGCTGCTCACATAACCATCAGCCCAGGTATGCCAAGAATAAGGTTCTTGTAGGGAAAGTAATGTACCTGGAGAAACAATATATGTTGTACAAGTTTTGCACACCCATCTCATTAGAAAAAGAAAAAGAAAAAGAAAAATGTCATCACTTATTGCCAACTTTTAGTGTTGAGAATATACTGATATCCATTCACTTACAACGATTTTACTAGTTCTTAAAATGGAAAACTATGTCTCTTCAATGAAACTTCGCATAATATGTCTCACAATCTATACCATCCCCAATCTAAATAAATATATATATAATGTACTAGTACGATTTAACAAATAACACAAGAAAAAGGGCAGACAAGATTCAGTGAAGAAAGAATTTGAAAATAAAAGGTCAATTTGTATTACAAAGAAATTTATTTGGGAATGCCCACTTTCTTGAAGAAACTATATTATGGCTTCATAAAACAATATAAAACGTTAGTAAATTGAAAAATATGGCAGAAAACCCCACCCCATAGAGATTAACAATTTTAGCGGCTGATGTGATACTTTGTGAGACGAAAAGGGCCAAAAAATGTGATACATGTAAGAACCCACTTTCTATGCTTGTGCAATGCTTAGCATCATTATCTCCTTGTCACAAACAAATAAAAGTAAATCTAACCAAAAAAAAAAAAAGCAAGCTATGAAAAAGGCAGAGGCAGTTCAAACATCTTGCAAATAATGATAGCAAAATAAACAAAACTATTCTGATCCAACATTGTTGAAGCAAGTAGACCATATCCACTAGATAGCACAGGAACATATCCCACAATAAACCACCGGCACTCTACATTGAGTCATATAGATAACTACAATGGTCCCATAAGTTTTGAAGAGCAGCCAGCAGTACATGATGGAAGAATTCTCAGAGAGAGAGCAGTGTCTGTCACTTGGCACTATTGGAAGGATTTTATTTGTTTTTTTTTTTTTTTGCTTAATTGTGGCGTCAGAATTGCCCAAGTCCTTGGAATTGAGTTTAAGGCTTGATATATGATGGAACACAATCTCCGACTCAAGTATATTAGCATGGATCTTCACAGCACTCAGTCCAGCTAGGTGGTGAAAAAATAAAAAGGCAAGAATTTTCTAAAATAATTGAGGCCTCGCAAAGAGGGAGGTAGAAATTAGGTTTACAACAGTTTTAAAACTTCTACAATCCCACTCCTAGTCCTGGAAAAAAGAGAATCACATACCCTCCAATGAAATGAGTTCATATAATCGAACATAGGGCTGCAGAGAATTATATACCCAAACACTCAACATTCCACCTCTATCTCCACGGAAATTGACAAGATTTGCAGGCGAAATTAACTTATATATGATGGAAAACTAAAATTATAAGCCCTTTTGAAAGCCAAAGGGTTGACACACTACCCAATCTCAGAAACGAGAGCGCCAATCACATACTAATTATAAAGATGCAGAATTGGTTGAGACCACAACATATATGTATATATCTATATCTACAACACCAATTTAAACAGACGAATGAGAAGTGCAAAGAGGATAAGGAACATACATACCCACCCCCAGATCTACACAAAATATACTGCGATCTCCTTCCTTGCTGCTGTTTTTTTTTTCCCCAAACAATTAATCCAATTCTACCGTACTCCCACAGAAAGCAAATTCAGTTTTGGCTGGGACTGATGGGTCGAAGGGGACTGGGTGGGGAAGTAAGCAAATAATTACTTACTTGGGTAGAGTAGGGTAGGGCTTAAATTTGGAAAATTTTTTGCTCTAGCTTTCATAATCTCTATAAACAACAAATGCATATACGTGTCTCTTAGTTCGCGTTTATGGATGGATGTGAAGGGAAGTCGGAAAAATATGCCCTGAATTTTTGGTCGGATGATAATTGAGACGAAACCAAAGTCAATACAACAAAGTTTGGGCAGGGCAGAGTGCATAGGGCGTTTAGCCTAAACTGGCCTTGGTCATCCAGCCACTCACAATCACAGACTCGGTCGATCATCTAACCAATCAATAGTAATAATAATAGTAATAAAGACTGCCCGCGGTCAGTTTTTGGGGTCCACCCAACACAGCCGACCGTTCAACTCCTAATTTAAACGAAAAATGACGATTCAGATCCCCTGACCGGCCTCCAATCGGATTCAGACCGAATCTTCAGAAAAATATTCCGGCCATTTTGTCCGTTTCCTCTTTTATTATTGTCACTTATTCGTTTATATATATATATATATAATCAACAATAATCATATCACCTAATTCATCATAATTATCAAATTAATCGTAACTTCTGAATAATACTGAAGTCCACTTTTAATTTAAAAAATTATTTTTTTTTGATATAATATTTTTATTATTGTAAATTTTTTGTTCTACTACTAAAAATATACCAAACAACGATTTTATGATTTTTAATTAATTTCAATATTGTATTGAAATTTTTTTTGGATACCATACTGTTTTTTTTTTTTTTTGTTTTTGTGCAAGTATGGGTACGATACTTTATCCCTTTATTTGGAGAACTCCTCCTCCTTTTTTAATTTTCGCTTTCCTGATCATTTGTTTTTATTGTTTTGCCGCGGTCACTGTTTGATTTTGTCTCTTTTTAGTTTGTCGTAATCCACCCCTCATGAATCATTTTGAAACAGAATAAAGACTCTATTAGATGCTCGCTTATCAACAAAAGGGGCACAGACTCACGTCTTCAGGTTGATAGTTGGACTTTGAAGCCCAACCCAGATTCCAGAATGACAAAGAAAATGGGCTTGTTCTATGAACACCTAAAAGCCTTTGTCATGCATTCATTTGTTTTACAATTGTGGGTGTGTTTGTTTTTGTTTTTGTGTTTGTGTTTGTGTTTGTGTATGTGTTTGTGGGATTCACATTCCCTCCATTACTCATTCCTTTATATTTTCTCAAATACAATATTAGATTGGTGACATATTGTTTGGCGTATTTTCATATTACAGGCGTGTCAAAATCCATGTGAACTTAAAATCCAAACAGGTACGGCCTTACCTACTTGAACCGATATGAGACTCTAAAATCGTGACTATTCAGACAATTGGAGTAAGATGTAACGCTACCTTTAAGTTCTTTTTTATGCCTTGGAATTTCAAGAACTTTAAATAATTTCACCAAATAGAATCATATAAACGACACTATAAAGCAAAAAGTGGGGATGCAAAGCAACAAGTGAATTAAATTTGAATCTAAAAAACAAAACAAAGCATTAAATGAAAGCAATAAAAGATCACTGGAGTGATGCGTTACATGAAAAGTAAGTTGCTCGAAAGCAAGAAACAAGTAAAAAGATAGGCTGACTTTTATAAAGAGTTTTTGTGATTGATCGTGGGATCTCTTCTCAGTGGTCTGACCTCCACTATTTATACTGTAAAACCCGAAAAAAAAATTATTATTATTATTATTAAAAATCCTAATTAAAAGGGTAAAAATAACAATTATATATATATAGTGGAAGACAAAGTCTTCCACTTTTGGTTTTGTTGGAGAAACGGCGAGACATAGAGTGAGAGAGAGAAAAGTGAGTGTTTTTTTTTCTCTTTTCTTTTTTTTCAGATTTACGAAGATTGAACCGTTTAATCGCTTCGAGCCAAGAACTAAAGTTGCTCTACTCAGCGAGAGCTACGCAACCACACCAAATATCGTATTTTTCTCTGAAAGAATATCAAAGTCGATAATCTAGGCCAAAAACTTAAGAAGCTAAATTTGGGGTTCTTTGGCGTTCTAGTAAGTGAGCTCACGCTACGAGAGATAGGGTTTCCCCTATTTAGATTTAATTTCAACTTAAAATATGACATATGGAATGAATAGACTATGAGTGTATATCACATGTTAGGTCTTGACTAGTGTGACTAGTGGGTCAAATATAGGATTTATAATTAATCTTGCGATTAATAAAATTCTATTGTGATTAACTTGGTGTAAGTTAATGTTAGTAGTTTAAAGCTTGTTAATTGTATATTAGCATTACTTTATATTTTAATGTCAGATCAAGTTTAATAAAATTATTAACTTGTTATGTGATTATGAAATAATATGTATTTTAAATAATTATTTAACATATGATTATTTTTGTGGACTTGTGTTTGTGTTTATATAATTAATAAACATGTTGTCATGTTGCAAGTCATAGCATGCTAGTTGTGTAAATTGATGTGCTCTTTAGGTGTTTGATTAAATGTCTAGGTGACTACAAGTATGTTAGTTGAGTTGATTATCTTACATAATATGTTTGAGATTGTGTTAAAATGTCATTATATTGTATTCATTATGTAATGAAAATTATATTGCATTATGCATGGGTTGCACTACATTCA